GGGATTGGGGGTCTTGGGGGACAGGCAGGCCTGCTTCAACACCAGGGGGGGGAAACCACAGAGACGCTCTGGCTGCTACCAGAGCATCTCTGTCGAGGACCCAGCCTCTGGTTGCCTCAGGGCATGGTCCTGGATCATGCTCTGTCCCACTTTTTTGACTGAGGGTTTTTTTGACCCCTGGATATCCAGGGGTCTAATTTTGCCCCATTTTCTCATTCCTGCACATGCCTCTTGCAGCATCTCAAACTCCTTTGAGACACTGGAAGAGGCACATGCGGGCTCATCTGGATGCGCCCACTGAGTCCAACTCTGTGCAGTCCAGCTGGAACGGGGCAGGAGTGGCTCTGGAGCTCCCCCTGCCTGGGGAGTGTAGCAGGGGGGAGGAAAGGAATGAGAGGGGAGGTGACACTGAGCATGGAGGAAAGGTGGGGAGGGAGACTCTGACCCATTCCAGGGACTCAAAAAAAGTCTCTGGCTACAGCTCCTGTGGTGTGATCCGAAAGGGGGGGGGGGTGTGACTGTGGCACTGAACCCCTTTGGATCTGCCTCTGTTGTGCACCCAAAATGCCAAATTAAGTAAATAGAAATTGGGCAATTGTAAGAAATGATAAGGAAAGTTGCTGATAAATTAATTTTCTCCAGATTGGCCACTAAATACAGGTAACAGAGAAGCCCAATTCAAACAAGCTTCTGCCAAATGAAGAATAATTATATCTTAAATAATTTTTCAGCTATGGAGAGATTTTACACAGGACCTGTATTTATTTAATCCCAATTCATTTAATACATTTGTGGTATAGTACTGGACTGCACTGATTATTTATCTGCTTCAGTTACTTTCCTATTATGATTTCTATTAAACTTTTTGTTTCCAAATCCATCAACACTAATTTTAAGTGTTCTTTCCCAGGTACCTCATAGCTACTGTTAGTTTATTTTCAAATAAATGTTTCTCAATAAAGCATCTCCTTAACAAATAGATTTTTGCTGCTGCTGTTCATTTTCACATGCTTCTACACTCTGTGTTCTTTCATAGAACAAGCTCATTCTTCCATTCCCCATTTCCAAGGTCCAAAAACCAAAAAACCCAAAACAAAACAACCCCCCCCATCAAAATGCTAATCTATGCTATACCTCAAACAACCAGGAAACCAACCACAACACTGTCCTACTTTTCTCCCTGCTCTTTATTTTCTTTATTACTCAGATTAACCCACTCCAAGAAATGGCTGTACTATAGAATGCAAATGGCCAAGCAGAACCTTGATCATTTGTGTCTGGTTGATTTGCAACCCGCTTAGTTCACAATGGGTTGCCACTCTGCTGTTCATTGCTGTTTTTACTACAACAAGGTCATCCGCTAAACTCCCCTGGCTGCAGCACACACATCTGTGTTCCAACTGAGCACCCCTTGAAGGGCACCCCTTGAAATAAAAGTTGTAGCAAAAGCACAAGCACAAGCACGGAGCACCTGTGCAATCCTGTGCAGTTATTTACTGGGGCTATTCATTTCCTGGTTAGTTCACAAACTCACATATTTGCAGCAGAGCTAGGAGATGAACCCTGAGAAGTATCTGGGTTCTATTTCTATTAAAGCTGTTTTCATCTAGGTTACTCTGGCTGCTGTACTCCAGTCATTTGGGTGTAAACAGTCCCTCTGGTACTAATGGGTGTAAACATTCCTTCATTACAACTGTACCCAAATCAGACTGATTTTTCTATAAAAAAATATCATGACAAAATCAGAACCCAGATCCTGAGATATTTAATTCATGGTCAGATGTGACGGAATAGGCCCATGGAACACTATCAAAAAACATTTCAAAATATTCTGTAATATGAAATTCATAGTTGAAAATCTCACTGTCTTAGAAAATACATGAAAATGCTTTAATATGCCGCCTCCTCTGAAAAATTAAGACTGACTTTTCACTTCCAAATATTAACCAGTTTTGACCTATGCTATAGATCCAACATCACTGGCAGTTCCTGAATAGGTATCCAAAACTACTACCACATGAACATATCCCAAACTGAGGTGTAAGAACAGAAAAATCTATTGAGAGCCTTTGGCAGTGAACCTGGCTATATGGCTATAAAACAATGAAGGCAGGCATCATACAGTGACATAAAAGATCTGAAATGTCCTTCAAAAATATGTTTTAGTCCTCATGATTTTGAGGAATAAACTGAAAAATGTGACTTGAATGCAACCAAAACTGGTGACATTTGTTTGAAGTAGCAGACACCCCAAATTAATAGCTCTGAAGGACTCTTTAGTGGATTACTTCACACCAGCTGCTCTGGAAGCCTCCTTTACTCCTCTTGCTCCCTTACTAGTAGAGGACACTTATGGGCTCAAAATCTAGATGTGACAAATACAGATCATATTTGTGTGTCTTTTTGTCTGGATTATCTTAATTTAGTTCTAAACAATAAAAGTATTCTTTGATGCATTTAGAATGGTCTTCTGAAATATGAACTTCAATATGTTACTGCCCCTTAAGGCACTAGGAAGCATAACTGTAAGCTCAGCATGACTTCCAAATAAAGCTTATTGCTATGCTTAAGGGTGTTAACACTAACACTGAAGAATTACTCCTGGTGATTACCTTAGTCCAACATGTTTTTCCATGTGCTCTCCACAAGACAAATAGTAAAGATCCTATTTTTATATTAACCTGTTTTCTACCTTGTCACAATTGTGCAGAAAAAAATTGTTAAAGCTTTGATAAAATGTTTACCTTCATCCATGCCATTAAGTATTTCATTTAAACCTTCATGTTTGCTGTCATACTGGTGCTCCTTCCATGTTTCACCATTTTCACTTCGAAGGACAATTAATTCTCTTTCCTTTCCTCGCATTGATCCAAAATGTGGAATTTCCACTATAACAGGGCTAAACAAAAAAGGAATCTATATTACTTTTAATTATATAGTTCTACACTAATGCTGGTTTTATACAGATTAAATCCTCAATAAAACTATATGCATTTTATAATAAAAAGAAACATTATAGTAAAAATTATTTTAAAAACTGCCAAAGCTGCACAATCCTTTACATATATTGACATGTAGCAATCTGATCACATGAGCAAGAATTTTGAAACAGCTGCTTACATGGAAAATGGATTGAAATTAAGATGATTAAGCATCCATGTTTCTTTATCCTGAGACAAAAGTGCACACATAGCTCTATTGACTTTTAAATGGCACAGACACAAACAAAGGAAGGATTTGGCCAGGAGCATTTAAAGGGACAAACAGTCAAATTCAGGCAGGCATCCTGTATCTAGCAGACATGTAACTGTTATTGACTGACATAAAAGTGTGTGTGTGTGTGTGTGTGTGTGTGTGTGTGTGTGTG